TTTTTTTTGTTGCTTATTTACGGTGATTTTCAGTGTTTTTTAACATATTGTCAGCGATTTCAAGTTTATTTCCAGTGATTTTTAGTTTATTTTTAGCTGTTCTTAGTCATTTTTTGGCCTATTTACAGTGATTTTCAGCCTGTTTTTAGTCAATTTTAGCTTTTTTTCAGACATTTGAAGCCTTTTTTCAGTCATTCTGATCACATTTTCCGCCCATTTTTGATCAATTTTCGGACTGTTTCCAGCAATTTTCGCCATATATTTTTTGACATTTCAGGTATTTTTCAGCTGTTTCCAGCGTATTTTCAAACAATTTTCAGTCTTACCAGTTGGACACGAGTCGTTTCCAAAAATGGCGGGAAACCGAACCAGGACGTTAAACGGCCAGAAAATGGTATCCGGAATACAGTATGCCGTGATACCAGAAACATATCTCAGCAGAGCCAGTGCGGAAACTTGCAGCAAAACTCGGACGACAGTGTCGATTTTCAGATTTTTCGCTGTTTCAGTACCATTTTCGGCTTCCAGGGCGCTGAAAAAACGATTTTTGGCTGGAATTTTGGAATTTTCGGTATAAAATAGTCAAAAATTCGCTAAAAATGGCATTTTTGGCTTAGAAAGTACCTCAATTCATCATTGGCCTTGTTCAATTCCCGATCTTTCTTAAAGTACTTTGCAAACTCTCCTGTCGGCGAAATTCCGTGTAATTCTCGTTTCAATTCGCTGATTTTGAGTTTTAAAGCGACGATTTTTGGGTTTGGCGGAGATTTAGACAGAGATTTTACCTGGAAAAATTGACTTTATAGCTTTAAAAAATAAAAAATTTGACTCGCCACTTTTGAAATTGCCGACACAATTTTCGCACTATATATCGCAAAAGTCGCTGAGCAAATCACAGCGAGTATGTTGAAAATTGAGATTTGTGTGGGTTTTGTGGAGGATTCCATCTGAAAAATCGGAAATTGAAAAGCCCTTTCTCGATTTTTTTAACGAATTTTACTGATTTCTCCGGTTTTTTTCAGCTCTGGAAACCTATTTTTTATTTCAAAATCTTTAAAAATGATTTTCAAAAAACCTAATATTTCGGCATTTTCTGGGCTTTTTCAACTCAAAATTACGACTTTAACGATTTTTAATTTGCTTTTTTTAAACAATTCAACATATTTTCCCTATTTTCCTCTCTAAAACCTTGAAAAATCACAAAAAAGTAAAAATAAATTTTCAAAAAAATCCACTAAAACAACGACACTCCGCTATCCCGCGCGGTGTTTGCGTACTCGGTTGCGTACCTGACATTATAATTGACGACATTTGTTTATTTTTAGCCAGGGCTGTCCAAAAGGCCGGCCTCGGCCGGCCGAAGGCCTCGCGCAATTTTATGCGGCCGAGGCCGTCGCAAGTTCGCTTCATTGAGAAAAAGACTCGCGAG